GAAAGGAAGAATGAGATTTCAGTTTCTCTCCGTGCATGAGCAAACTACATATAGAATTATACATCAGAGCAAGCTGCTTGCATCACACAAAGGCCTCTAAACAATGGTGTTTGTTTCCCTCAACAAAACTGACAAGTTGGGCTCTAATTATTTCAAACGGTATAGTTAGTTCTCTGGATTACACAGGAGGAAGTAAACTGACATAGATGGTAATGTCTACTTTTGTTCTGGACAATGTGCTCGGCATTTTAACACAGATGAGCTCATTTGCTTTGCACAACAATCTTGTCACCTGAAAGTCATGATCATAACTTTCAGTGGAGAGGAGATCACACAGCTCTTAAACGGTGGTTCCAGCGTTTAAATTGAAGTTTGGGGGCAGCTCCGCAGCCAAACACCATCAAGATGCTACTTATATGAAAGAAGTCAATAATGATCTCTCAAATTATTAAAGGGAATTATAACTTCAAGGGATACACGCCCTGTTTGACATATTTATCCACATTCAGATTTAGATGGTACATTCTCATAATTTGAGCTTCTTTCTTGCTCGTTTGTTATTGGTGTGAGATAAACACATATATAATAACAACGAGAATGTTTTAAATAAATAATACACATTTTTAAATCCCTGAGGCCCCCACTGTGCATTACTAGGGATAATAGAATTCCCTGAGACTTTTCTGAGGATAAGCTTAGAAAAGAAACAAGATTTAGTCATGTGTTCATTTACTAATTAATTTTAATTTATTGACTGCTTATAATGAACAAGCCACTTTGCTAGATTTTTACAATAAGCAAAATGATCATAGCTCCTGCCTACATGGAGTGTATGACTTATTGATTGTTTTAAAAGCAATAAATGGATAGTTATAAAGAAGTAGACAGTATTAAGAGAAAAGCAGTATCTCACAGAAACATAGTGGAGTGCTGCCTGTGTGAGAGTAATTCAGGGAAAGCTTTATCAGGAGGAGAAGTGAAATAGAGCTAAGCAGCAGGGATAGCTCTTCTTGGAGTGAAAAACACAAAGGAGAGAAGGGCACTTACCAAATGAACCATATAAGGAAAGTAAAATAGATCAAATTTGGTTTTTAAGGGTTCCTAGGAAGGTTTAGCCATTCTGTGACTAAGACTGCCCTCGGTCAACACTTGTCCCTAGCTACATCTCACTGTTCAGGACTCTTTCTGAGTATCTCATGATGGCACTTTCAGATCATTTCAGTGAAGTTAAAGTTTACATGTAAAATCAGACTACACAGAGAAAATTGCATGAATTACTCTAGAAAATCACTTAGGATGTCTCAGTTTCAGGTATCTCACTAACATCAGTTTTTCTCCAGCAGTGGAAAAGAAAACTATTTATATCCAAGACAGACAGCTGACTTGCAAAATTAGGACCAGTCATAACCATATGTGTCGTGAGTAGATATCATGCCTTAAAAATTATCAAATTCTGAGGGATTCCTATAATAAGCAATGTGTCTACACCACAAAAAGTGGAGGGGAAAAAGAGCCACATGCTCTCTTTGGCCCATTCACCCTTACTGTTGTATAATTTTGACTGAATAGTCAGTATGTGGCTCATGTTTGAAAATGTAGCAATCAGATGCCCCTTTGCCTACTTGGGGACCTATGCATTATGGAGATGGTGCCTATGTGTGTTGTAATGAAGACAAGTGATTTCAACAGTGAGAATGCCTAGAAAAATAAATAGTGTGGCCCTGGCATCAACAGGAAGATTGTTCAGTGAAATGTGCCAGTAACCTTCAGTCACTTAATATAGGTACGTAGCTACCTACATGAACGCAGAAGCTTCCCAATCAAAATTTGCCATTAATCTGCAGGCCAGCTTACTCTGTCTTTTTCTGTTTAGAGTCAGGATGTGATATGTCACATTTTAGGTTTTATTTCAGCCCCATGATCACAAGGCACATTTGATAACAGACCTTCTAAAATTTACAAAATAACTATTTTGTGTTTATCATGGGGGTAAAATATTAATAAAATAATTTTCTTTTTCTTCCATTCTAGTGGAAAAGCAAACAATACACAGGAAATTAGAATACGATCAGTGTGAACATAGAACCCACCCATTAGCTCTTAGCTTGAGCAGCTCAGAAGAGAGAAAGAGGGTTTTTTTCTAAAAGCAGGGATCTGCAAACATCCACGGAATGTGTAGCAAGGCTTTCCTTTGACTAGACTGTTAAAAATGAAATAAATAATAGATGCAGTGTGTGCTCTGAATATCTAAGTTTTGGTAGAAAGGTAAAATGAAGGTATGAGCCACAGAGAGGGTTATACACCTTTGATGAAAATCTGCAGACTGTGTGAAACCTAAATTCTGATGAAAGAAAGCAATAAAATTTGTATCTCTCAATAGTATCTTTGCCTAATTCTGCCAAAGAGATGTTTTTGTGAAATACCAAATACTTTGAAAGCCTTACAAAAACTAGTACACTACATGTGTCTGCAAAACCCTGACAATGTGATAAGCCTGTATTTGAGCAGGATGCTTAAACATTATCATCAGAACATTCATGAACACATCTGGCTAATAACAGAGGTTCACCCAAGGTCAAGTAGAGGGCTTTGTTAAGGTGACTAATCGATGACCAGTAATTCTGTCATTGAGTCATACATTGTTCAGAGGAAAACAAAAACCGTGCTAGAATTATTGAGAATTTGTAACAGCTTCTTTTTCAGTCCACACAAAAGCAATTTCTTGGCCACCAAAGCGTATAAATGGGGTTTATTGCCCAGGAAAAGAGAGCTAAGAATACAGATTTTCCGTGTTTTTCATTCTTTATTGGGTCATAATTATGTTTACTAATAAGTGTATCATTCTTTTTATAGGTGCTATTAGTTGGATTACTATTTTCATTACAATATTATAGTCACCAAGAGAGCAAATGTGCTGTCACATCTAAATAAATAGCTTTTTCTAACATTTGAAACAAAAAAAGAGAAAAAAAAAATAGAAAGGGACTCAAATGGAAGTAATTTCATTTTCTATCTTTCAGGTTATTGAATCATTTCAGAAAATGTGCTTCCATAAAAATTTTATCAAAATCATATACCCGCCTGTAGCAAACATACTGATCCATATCCGAACTTCTTGTAGTTACCTCTTGAAAAATAATGAATGTGCAATTTCCCTCATCATTTCTCTGTCATTTAAAAACAAACAACTGTCAGTTGCCAAAATGCTTTTTTATGCACCCCAAGCAACGTTTGCTAATATTTTCTTTACCTTGAAATTTCTAAATGCTCACTTCAAAATAATACAGAATGGATACTTCCATTTTATACAACAGGAAGTTCAATTCAATGAGAAACAGTTAAAATATAATGGAACATAACAGCTATGATTTAGAAAGAGAGAGTTTTGCCTGTGAATCTTGGATTTGTCATTTACTAGTTGTATGGCCTTGGGACAATCTCTTAACATCCCTGGACTTCAGCAGAAGCTGTCTAATTGAGTAATTGTACTAAGACTTGAGGTGTAAAAAGTAGTACAGTAAGTCCCTGATGCATGAATAAGTTCCATTCTAGGAGAACTGTTCCTAAGTCAGATCCATAAAATGACAGAGTGTTTTACAGTACACCTGTGAAAGTTGGTAACTCAAATGTTCATAAGTCAGGGGCTTGTTACAGATTCAATATTAGCTATTGGGTAAGGGGAAAAAATGAGAATCAAGACTTGTCATGTAGAGGTACAAGATCCCAACAATGAATGTAACTGTACTGTATCCCTAAAATGTACCAATAAACTCAATTAAAGCTGAAAAAAAATATTAACTATTGTCACAATTACTTGTTATTAATACTAAAATAACTATTTTATTCACTTCTGAATTCATACTGTTTGTCAAATATGCAATATAGGAAAGACTTTTGACTGTTAAGACCAGTAAAATCCGTTTAAATTCTTAATGTTCTATGGAATGCAGAAAAGCAATTTAACCTCCCTGGACCAGAGCTTCTTTCTATAGAAAACTTAAATACTAATACCTGCCTTCCCAGATTATTATAAAAATCGAGGCTTTTAAAATCAGGGTATACACACACACACACACACACACACACACACACAAAGAATTTAATACTTTTTAGGGCCGGGATTTAGCTCAGCGGTTCAGTGGCCTGTCTTGCAAACGCAAGGACCTGAGTTCAATCCCCAGTACCAAAAAAAAAAAAAAAAAATGAATTTAAAATTAGGGTACATAGTACATAATTAATGAACAGCAACTTCTAGTATTAATACTACCACAATAGCAGTTGTTGGAAACCAAGAGATCATCTAACTTAGTGTCTTCAAGTCCAAAAGTAGTGTTACTTACGGGAATGGAAAATAGGGTTGTCCTCAGCTGCCACCCTGCTTACTGAGGACATGGCATGTTCTCTGTGGACTCTGGTATTCACTGAAGCCTCTGTATGCATACAGGGTCGGTGAACACAGATCCAGACACCCCAACATACGATTATGATTAAGTAAGTTTAAGATCCAGGTATTAGCACAAAGTCACTAAAAAGGTGCAGAATAGTCCACAGATACTACATATTTTCAAAAGTGGGAATATAAAACAGCTATCTTACTATCTGAAGCAGCAGACCAAAATGGTGAGAGGTGACCAAACAATTTTCTCACACTCCTTTTTTTCAATATCAGCTGCTTGGCAAAGCAGAGTATTTATTAGAAGCTCAGTAAATGTTATCATCCAAACATTTCAAGTAAACCTGTGTGCATTCATTCAGATCAGTAGTAGCAACTATAATAGATAGAGTGAAAGACTACCCTTATCTACATTTTAAGATGATAAAGATTTCTCAGGGCTGATTCTAAAATATCCCTGTATAGTATATAATTGCTTTTCACACAGGGTGCATAAAAAGAACACTGCATTTAAGAACCAATCCTTTAGAATCCAAGGAATAGACTTGAGAGGTTTGTTTTAAAGTGATCAACAATTTTTATTTTGTAGAAGTGAAATAGTTTCAATCAACCATTTTCATCAGAGCCCAAGGGAAGAGGGCAGAGTAAAAGCCAGAAGAGATGAGGAAAGGCATAGAGAGCCCATGAGGAAGAGTTTGGGAGGGGACATTTATTTGCCTTTTCAGATTACTTGTGGGATCTGGTGACTATACTGAATAGACCAAATTAACACCTCACAAAATGCCAAAACCTGAATTTCTATGACAAGCTCATTGAACCCCAGAAAGGGAACCTCTATAGGTGTATCAGTGAGACAGCTGGGAGAAGAATAAAGGCACAGCCACGGTTAGATCTTATTTAAAAAAAAACAAAAAAACTTCCTTTTATTAAAAATGCTGCCTAAATCTGTGCCTTTCATGTCCAAATGTTACGTAATTATGGTGGGCTTCAGGCTATGAGGAGTTAGAAATAGGCAGCCAGAAGTTTCCCCAAGGCCTCTAGTAGGTGGTCTCAAGTATCTGGATGGAGACTCCTCTTCCTCACCCCTCCCAACCCAGCCAAATCCCTCACTGGCAAAGTCACTCCTTCAGATCTCAAAAATACTCAGGCGTCCCAAGTGTTTTCAAGAAAAAAAATGACTCTCAAGACTCCATGAACGGCATAAGGAGTAGTGAGGGAAGGCCGTAGGCTCCTAATAGCTGCCCCACTTTTCTTTAATCTGTAAAACTGGGCAGGTTTTGGAGGGAGAGGAGGAGCACAGCAGTTAGAGATCACCCTCCACCTCCTCCACCACTGCAGTTTGGCAAGTGCCCCTCCCAGGTTCCCAGAAGCTACCTCTGCACTTTTATCCTCCCTTTTACTCCTAACTGATTCCAAGGCAGATTTGCAGGATGCCTAGGGGAGGGGAACGGGGTGTTAGGAGGTAGAAAGAGCCTGTTCCGGTTAGGCAGCAGCGTTGAGAAGCAGTTCTAGTTCCCAAGAGGCATGGTGGCCACATCTCATGCTGGGCAGTAGGGGTCTTGACTCAGATCACAGGGATGGCGATCAGGTAGGTGAGAGCCAGGTGACTTGTCCCATCCAGCTGGCCTGTCTGTTCCAGGTGGTCCATGCCCTCCAGGTGGCCTGTTCCTGCTAGGAATCCAGTTTCTCTTACATAGCCTGCCCCATCTAGCTGCCTGTCCATTCTAGGTGGTCCATCTTTTCAGGGTGGCCTGTTTCGTTAAGTAACCTGTAGCATTAAGTAGCCTGTCCCATCCAGTAGCAAGTGGTTTGCCCCATCCTCCGGGGCAGGGCTTGAGTGAGTGGAGGAGGGAGCAGTTGGGGTGGGAGAAGGGGTCTCGCGATACAGGGTGAGGTGGGTTTCTTCATCCACCAGGGACGGTGCAGGGCTCTTTCCAAAGGCAGGGACTACAGGCAACCCGGGGCGTTGGCCTTCTCTTCCGCCTCCTCCTCACGCTCCTCCCTGGCCTGTGCCTCATCGGTCTTGGCCTCCTCCACTTCTTCCCCCGCGCCATCCAGAACTAAGGCCTTGGACCGTTTGGGGGTGTCCCCAGGCGGGTCCCCGATCCTCCGCTTCAGAAGTACCTCCTTCTGCTGCTCCTCGGCTGGCTCCGGATCCAGCTCAGGCTCCGGAATGGGGTCACGGGCGTTGGCGCAGCCGACCCCCTCCTTCTCTTCTGCTGCCAGCGCCGCAAGGAACTGGTTGTTCGCCTTGATCCTGGGATCATTCTCGATCTCCCACAGTCCCACATTGAAGCCTCTGCGCTTGCTGGCCTTGGCAAACTTCTCCTTGAACTCCTTGTACGAGTAGAGGCGCTTGGGGCTCAGGACGGCCGTCTCGTAGGTCCCGAAGAAGAACACCTGGTACCGGTTGGGTTGGGCCATGTGCTCGACCCTGGCAGGCCAGGGGTAATAGCCCTTCACCTTGGCAAACACCAGGTCCCCGGTCTTGAACCTGCGGCTACCGGGACTCGACATGGCTGGCGGGCGAGCTGGCGCTGTAGGACCGCCTGGGCCACCGGAAGGCAACACGGAGTCTGCGCAGACTAGGACCACGCGAGGACGAGCAACGTTGCCTCAAGGGGGGTGGGGCAAAGCTCAGCGTCCAGAAGGTTCCAGAGCGAAGACTCATTATCTCTGAGGCTCCAGAGAGCCTAGTGGCAGTTGTACTGTGGGGGACTTTGGGGCAATGTGGAAAGAAAACACAATGACAAAATTACCACAAATTTATGGAAAACTAGTAGAAATGGAGGGCACATTTCCAGGTCCTGTAGGCCCCTATCTATTCACAAAGGAAGATTCCAGTCCTATGTCAGAGGCCACCCATGAGAGGTCTGAGTCAATGGTTTCTATCATTTTGTGGTTTCCCAGGGCCTGATATAGGGGCCTGCTGTGAGGCTAAGTCAGTCGTGTGCTTAGGGAGTCGAGAGAGAAAACTTGGTAATGGAAATTCTAAATATTACCTGGTTTTCGTGGTCACAATGGTAACACCATGGCAAACCAGAAGTATCAAACTTTCTTACTTTACATGGAAAATTTCCCATTTGTGAAAGATAGGATAATATAGTTCTAATACTGATAGTGCGGCTAGTGCTCTCAGCATCTTTCCATTAGAAAATTGAGCTTCTTATGTCTAAGAATTAGGTAGAAATTCACGCTTATCAAATATATTGAAAACAGGATTTGCCTGGGGGTACAGAATAAAAACACAGTCTCTAAATTGAGAGATATTTAAAAGGTAATTTTCTTCAGTCCATTTGAAATTGACAGGAATGAGTTTTAGTGCATCTGTAGTTGTACAGCTTTCTACATCTTTTTGAGTCCTAGTAGCTGTAAGCATACATTCTAAAACCTAGCCAAATTATAGTAGCACTTTTGACAAAGGTTATATATTGGTTCTGGGGATCGAACTCGGGTCCTTGTGCTTGTGAGGCAGGCGGCGGCACCACTGAGCTAAATCCCCAGCCCAAGATCTTTCAATATTAATCATTTATTTAAAAGGACAGATATTCTTTCGTATTGTGATCAGTTAGAGAATTTGAATCATTAATCTATTTCATTATTTTTTAAAATTGGCTTTAGTTTCCTGGGTTGGATCAGCCATCTTACCTCTTTGAATGGTGAAATTGAACAATGTGAAAAGAAATACATTCTCCTAACAAAGGAAACAAAAATTATATGCTGATGATTCTAGACAACATTTTCCTGTTAAAATATTTACATATAACATCTGGATTCCCCCCACAAATAAGCATAGTTTTACCAAATAAGTAACATCAACAATGGATCAATATATTCACAAATCTACATTCTGTTGTAAAAATGAATCTTCTCTTGATTTCTTTTAAAAAGTGCTTGAAAACTACAAATGTTTAGCCATTATAGAACTAAAAAGGAAGTAATGGACAGCTAAGGAGCCCATAAAGAAGGAATTTGGAATTTCTATAATCAGAAATCGTGCTAAATTTGGACATTGTTCTCACTTCTTAAGTATACATAAATGCACAGAGTATGGATAAACTTTACTTAATTAAGAAAAACTTTGACTGGGCATTATGTCCCAGAAGAGCATTAATTACATCAGCTTATTCTGAGAGCAGAATCAAATCTAAAACCCAATTGCTAAAGGTGAATGTGATCACAACAAATGGGCCACACCAAAACAAGCCACCATCAATAGTTGGACGGTTGAACCACAGCAGTTAAACACATCGGGGGTATTAATTGGTCTGGAGACCTGAGAGCTAGTACAAATAACTAAAATCTACTTAAAGCTGAAGTAAAAATGTGGTGGGTAACAGAAGCAAGAAGGTCAGGCAGAGAAGATTCTAAACCTGCAAAGGAGTCTATGAGACAAAGGAGTCTAGTCATTTCCCAAGTACAACTTGTACCTTTACCTTTGTCCACTGAGACACAGTGCAGTGCTAGAAGACCTGTACAGAAGATGTTGTTTTGAGGAACTCATATCTAAATTAGGATATAGAGCACCAGAGAGTTCATTACAGAGCAATACAAACTAGTCTCCAGATGTTAAATAATTTATCCTTTACACTGAGCAACTCCAAGAGAAATCAATAGCAATACGATTATAGGGAAGAGGCTTATGAAGCAGCAGTGGAAGATGTACAGAAAAAAAATCTGGCACCTTCATTTGTTTATCAAGCTTTTATGGCTGAGAGTAGCTAAAAGTCTTTCCATACCTCTGCTACAAAATCTTAAATATATTTAGAGTAATATTTAGAATTGCTTCAGGATTGTTACAATTATTCATGAGATGACAGTCATAAACATCCAGACAATGAATGACAATGGGTATGATGGTCTACAGTGCACTAATAATTGTAAAGTAGATTCTAATTATAGAAGGATTATATTATCATTATCACTAGGCTCCATGAGAGAAAAGAAATATCAAGCATAGTAGTAAAGTTATGAATCAAGGCACTGAAGAATGGAGATATGCTCCCCACCCACCAAACTATATATTGCATACAAAATTATACACAGCACAACTTTTATCTGATACAGATACAAAATTTTAGTCATCTGGAAATATGATTTTAAAAACAGTGTTCTTGAATTTAATTTTTCTCTTTGTGGTAACTGATTTCAAAAAGGGGAAAATAATAAGAAGGCTGAAATAAAAGTAGGATGCATTTAGAATTTAATAGGACCACTTCCATAGAGAACTCTTTCCTTTTATAAATGCATTCTTCACAATGCAATTAAGTGGAGTGACCCTGGCTTCTTTTTCCTTTGAAGTTATTGTCCAATAACTTTTGTTATCTTACTCAAAGTGATGAAAGGAGGAAAGTGGTGCGCATCATAACTTAGATATAGATTTGGCTATTATACCAAATGAAGCACTCATAAACTACTACAATTATTAATGTTCAAGAACTAGATTTCCACGAGCTAACACTTTTAACACAGTAGGTTGAAATGTTTTAAAAATCAAATGTATTGAGAACATCTATTTTTCAAGAAGCCCAAATTTTAGCAGTGGGAACATACCTATCGAAAAAGAAAAAACTTGAGATTACAAAACATATATCATTTTCCAGGAAACTACTCATAGATTTAAAAGCTGCTTGGCAACAATTACAAAACATAGATAATAAAACAATATAATTATATGAGAGACAATAGATATCTAATTGATATTTTCTTGTTTAATTACATTTAAATTCAATTAGTTCGCTGTGAAATATGATTTAAAAGAAATGTAATTCTTTTGTATGTGCTTTTGTCTGCATTAGAAATATTAACTGCCTCTGGGTTTATAGAGTAAAAGTGTTTATTATATGGTTGATATTTGAAATCAAGGGGGTTTTTTTTTGTATGTTCTAGCAAATGTAATTATACAGTAAACAAGCCCCACCCACATCATGCTCAGAGAATCTCCCCCTGTTCTTTCTGTAAAAAGTCACAGCACGTCTACCACTTTTATATTTTGTCACCTGTAAGTCCTGTCAGTGTCCATTTGGCCTAACAACTCTTAGTACCTCAGGGATTTCTGAAGTCCAAATGGACTGATGGGGTATGGACAAATTCAGTATCAATGGCAATGTTTGATGTCCTAGGAGCTAACTGGTAATGTAAAGCACTGGTCCTCAATCATTTTGGCACCAAAGACTAATTTAGTGGAAGACAATTTTTCCATGGATATAGGGGTGGGGGATTGGTTTCAGGATAATTGAAAGGAATACTCAACCTAGGTCTCTGGCACACATGATTCACAGATTTCGAGTTCCTATGAGAAAGATATGGTTGCAGATTTTCCAAGTCTGATATGTGGGCTGGCAATCTGCTGGCTTTGTCCAAGCATAGTTGTCATGCATTGGTGTGCAGAAGGGGCTGGTGGAGACAGCAGAATTGTTTGCAAAACTGCTGATTTACTGGCAAAGGAAGGAAGATAGTCACTCTAAAAAGAAGAAAAGTGGTTGGCACTGGGTAATTATATTTCATTGATCTGGGGAATAAATGACTTAAAAACTTGCTCTGTAGGGGAAATATTTATAAATAAAATGATTCAATAATTGTGAATATTTTCTAATCCCACATGATGATATTTATTCAAGCCCTGCCACCGAAAAGTGTTATCTCCACGTTTATTATGTATATATTTGGCAAAGTTTTAACAAATAAAAGTTAATGGTGATGAGTAAATTGGGGATTGCACATAATAAGGTGAATTTACATAATAATTTTATAATTGCACCACCATGAACTCTATAAAGTGTTTAAAGTACAGTTTAATGATTTAGAAAATGCTTACAAACCCAAATTGAATAAAAATATTGGATAACATATATAGCATCACTAATTTGTGAGTACATGTGAAATCTAGTTATTAAATGTAACATGTATAATTTTAGAGACAGTTTGAGAAATTGAGGAAAATATCATAGTAAATATCAAAGTCTATGTCTGGCACCTATGAAGTACTCAGTTGCTAGTATCCATGATTCTTAAAACAGCCAGGACTAGACTAGCTCTATTTCATCCAAGTGCAAGTGTTAAGTGATTATAT